GCCGCAGCGCGCCGCAGGGCCTGCAGGCAGTCGCAGCGGACTGTTTCCCAGAGTCGTCGCTCTGTCTCTCTCGCCCTCATGGGGCGTCTCGTACCGGTGCGAGAGAGACAGAGCGACGAGAGCGACTCTCGGAATCAGTCCGCAGGCAGCCCCTCGCCGACGCACGACACGCACGTGCGGAAGCTGATTGGTCGTCTTTGCACGCAACGTCGCGAGGCGCTCGAGGACGCGCACCGCGGCTCACGCTGGGCGGGCCAAAACGGTCGGGCTTCTCGGCTCCGCGCTCTCATGCAGGGGCTCTCCTCTCTCTCTCTCTCTGCGGGCTCTCTCTTTCGTCCTAGGATCTCTGTCTCCCCGAGCGAAACGCCCAGCCCCGCCCGGCACAACGACAACAGCGCGTGGTATGACGTCGGCGGTGGCGCGCCCTGCCCTGCGAGTGCTGCAAGTCCTGGAAGTGGAATCATCAACGCTCCAGCCGGTTGATTCCGAGCACGGCTCTCGTCGCTCTGTCTCTCTCGCACTCATGGGTCGGCCTGCGTTGGTGCCAGAGAGACAGAGCGACGGAAACGGCCGAGGGGGTAACAACTGGTAAATTTTGTGTCAGCCGGATTACGGATTACCCCGGATTACCCCGGATTACCCCGGATTATCCCCAAATTACCTCCGGATTACAACCAAAATAATCCTGGATTACCCCGGATTACCCCGGATTACCCCGGATTACCTCCCAATTTGCTGTCAGCCGGATTCCAGAAGTCGTTACCCCCTCGGAAACGGCTCTCTGAATCCGTCTGCAGCAGCGCGGTGAGCTGCGCGCTCAAAGGCGGTTACTCGCGCCGCGGCCCCCATGTTGACAGCGGCGGTGGAGGATTGACATCAGTTCGCTGAAGCCACGCCGGAAAAGCGGCCGCTGCCGACGCCGTCGGAGAAAGTGGTGTCCATCGTGTGTGTCTCGGCGCTTTGACCGCGTTTGCCGAGTCGACAAAACACGCTGTGAGAAAAAAAGGACGGAAAAAGTACGGAACATGTCTGGTCAATAATTTGCCTGGACCGTCCGTACTTGCCAACTACGGAACGTTCCGTACTTTTTTTCCGTACCCATTTACATGGGTTCATATGGAGCCGTAGTACCTCCGTACTATATTTTTCTGTACCATTTCCATTTACCATTTCCGTACAAAAGTACGGAATTTTTTACAATGCAGCAGCTTCCCGCTAAGTGGCAGCGTGCGTCCCGGTACGTGCCGGCCCAAAACAAAATCGGAAAATTAACAAAACAAACTGCACGAAACAAATAAAAGTACACGAATCGAGCTGCGGGGGCACCTGGCCTGGCCGGACTCAGCGAAGCGACGACCTGGAAATTTGCTGAGCTGACCTCGCGTCGCCTCGCCCTGATGTGGGGCACTACAGAAAAAGGTGAAAAAGGACGCGGCGGACGTCGGCGCTGCTGTCGCCGCTGTCCCCTCCCACTCGGCCGCGCGGTCCACCGTGGCGGTGTGGTGGGGTTGCACTTTTGGAAAAAAAAAAGATTTGAGCTCGCTACGGAATCGACGAGGTCAGGTCGCGCGAGGTCGCACGTTTCAGGTGCCCACCCTGTACCTGCCCAGCGGCGCAGCGGTCCCCGTACCGCACTGCGCCCCTCCGAGTGCTCCCTCCACTTTTGTTTATCTGACACAAGTCTCATCTTTGGTACAGTCCGAACTTGGCCGCTCCACTACTCTGCGAAAACAATTAATGGCCGGGAGGGGAAACTTTTTAGCCTCTTAACTTACCTTTTCTAATACCAAAGTGGGGCAGCAATTAGCGTCCTTCCGTCCATGAAAGGCTGTGCTCCGCTGTGCGCGGCGCTGACCGGGGCGGCCGGGCCAGGCCCTGCCTGCTCTCGCGGCGAGACCGCGTCCGGTACCCTTCCGCACTGCCGCGTTTTAAAATTGCCATTTCTCAAGCCCCACCCGGCGGGAAATCTTTTGAGACGGTCCGGAGGAGGGGGGAGGCAGGAAGATGGGGTGGGGGACGCTGTGCGGGGGGCCGCGGGGGCTGGCGCGTAAATGGACAAAGCCACGAAATTGGAGCCAATTGTTGCGACACAGCGAGACATTCCCCGCTTAGCCCCCTCTCCCCCTCCTCCATCTTCTCCCCCCCCCCCCATTCCCTCTCCCCCGCTCGCCCTTTCCGGGGACGCCATCGTTCCGCGTGCATTTAGCGTGCGGGGACACAGCAAGAGTTTGGCCGACAAAGTTGGCCACCGAAAAGTGTAGTAGTTTGCAATCATAGTTTGCGCCGTTGCCGTTTTCCGTGCCGGGCCGTGCCGGGCCGGGCGGAGCGTGGGCAGAGTGGAGTGAATAACAGCCGGCAACTTTTCGCCGTCCGTGCACTCACTCATTACAGTGTACCGAACGTGGAGTGCCCGCGAGCCGCTGTGCGCGCCGCCGAGCGCGATGGTTGGGTTTGTGCGGCCGGCTGGATGCTGATTCCGCACAGCGGTTTTTTTCCCTCACTCTGTCTGTCTCTCTCACTCATCCGATAGAATCCACGGGTGCGAGAGAGACAGCGATAGAGGCGATGAGCGGAATCCGTTCCGCTGCCGCGGGCCGACGTTTCTGGCGCCTATTTGAGCGACACGAACCTGACGCGCCGGTTTGTCGCAGTGTGGGCGGCCGGGGGGAGAGAGAGAGAGAGAGAGAGAGAGAGAGAGAGAGAGAGAGAGAGAGAGAGAGAGAGAGAGAGAGAGAGAGAGAGAGAGAGAGAGAGAGAGAGAGAGAGAGAGAGGCGAAAGGAAGTCCTTGAATGAGACGCTTCAAAAGGGGGAAGGGGAGCGAGAATGGCGACGCTAAATTAGCCGGACAGTTAACACGGCGATAAGGCGTCAATGCCACATCTGTGGTCGCAGGCCGCGTTTTGCCGACGCAGACATCGCTCTGTCTCTCTCGCACTCACGGGGGCGTCCTGGTGCGAGCGAGATAGCGACGGAACGCCGCGCAAAACCGCCCCCGCAGACGGCGTGGGCGGGGGCGGCTGGCAGTGTGCTGGCGGGAGGGTTGGCGGTGGCATGTACCAACTCCGGACACGCTTTCGGCTCTAATCAAAACGTGTCGAGAGTGACCTTTGGCGCCGCGCGGCCCGCGAGTCCAGACTGTTTCGCGTAACGAGGTGAGCTGCCTGCTTTAAAAAGAACAACAGCAAAGGCTGGCCCAATTTCGACGCTGTGACAACATCTGTTGGTCGAAACAAAATGTTGTTTGTGCCAAAACATTGACAGTGCCCGTTGGCGTCCGACTCTTAATGGTAGTGCGCGAGGTTGTGTACCTGCTACGCGCCGCCACGCACCGCGCGCCGCGCAGAGTCCACACGCAGGCTGGCTCCAGAGCGAGTTGCTGGGACTTGTCCCTCCATTTCCTGCAATTTCCAGCAGCGCTGCTGCCTTTCGTGCTCCCCGGGCGTGCGCCTCGGCAGGGCCCCACCCGGCGACGCGCGCTGCGGGGCCACTGTACGATGACTAATAGAAAGTGCTTCGCAGCTCCGCAGCTACGAAGGTAATTTAGAAATCTCGCGCGCACTCGCTGGCATTCAGAGGGCGACCGGAAAAGGGTGCCGGGGCAAACGGCATTCGCTGCGCGGCGGAAAGCTCACCGCGCGGAGTGCCAGGGCAAGCCGGGGCCGCCGGCAAGCCCTCGCGCAAGCCCTCGCTGGGTACAACCATCGCGCGATGGATGTACCGCTATGCACAGTGGTCTAGCCCTTAGTGGCAATGGTAATGTGAGCCAGGCAACCCACCCAGCTGCGTGCACCCGTGGTGAGCGTGCTGCCTACCCGGCGGTTCGCAGGCGCTATCAAGCTCGCGCAAACACACAGGCAAAGAGAGAGAGAAAGAGAGAGAGAGAGAGAGAGAGAGAGAGAGAGAGAGAGAGAGAGAGAGAGAGAGACTCACACATCCAAAATTAAATAATAGATACGAAATACTAAGTGCGCATTGATGTGACTTTTATCTCAACCGATACATTTTTGGGAGGCAGCAGATGATCTTAAACTTAAGAGAAACCTTTAGTAGCTTCCCGGCCCTAGCGGCAGACACTGAACTCTTCAAACCGAAGCCTGCTCACCTGCGAGCTGCAGGTCCAGGTGTCAACTTTGAATATTCCCTCAAGTTCAGTGAGTCGGAAAAGTGCTTCACTCGGAACGACTGACTGCGATTAGGCGCTCCGCACCGAAAGTGACTTCGGCGCGACGACGGTTCCGCGAGCCGCGGGATCGTCTCCGTGCTTCTCGCTCCACCTGGCACGGCGGCAATGCACCGCCCGGCCTCGGCCTGGCCGCCTCGCTGCACCAACTGCCGCGACACTGGTGATAAAATAAGGCGGGAAGGGCCAGGAATGGAATTAAACTCGGAGCCGGCGGGATTGCCATGACCGAGCGGCGTGCCCGCGCGGTACCGCGGCGGCGGCAGCAGCGCCGCAGTCGCAAGTGGCAAAAGACCCCGCTGCGACACTGTGACACACTGATAGCGAAAATAAGTCGGCGAGGCCCCTGCGCCGCGGCGCCAGGGCGAGAGAGGCGGCCCTTTAAGAGTGTCCCGGAGAGGGGCGGCGGAGGGGAGGGGGCGGTTCCTTTTTATCACGCCTGGAGGTGTTTCGCATCATGCTGCTGAATGTTTTAGCGCACAGCTGTGCCTGCCCGCGCGCTGCGTCCGCCCTGCTATGCCGCGGTGCGCGACGTTGGCCGGCCGTCCCGGTGCGAGCGCTCCAAGCGGTGGCACGGCCCCACGGCCCCACGGCCCCAGCTGGGGGAGCTTTTTCCTGGCCTCGCCCTTCGGCCGGTCTGTCTGCTCGGTATCGAAGCCAGCGCCGCACCGGAAAAGGGAAAACTTGCGGTGGCCTTCGTTTTTGCCGCCGCTTCCGTCGCACGCATCGATGATCAGGATTGAGGGGTCGGTGCACTGGTTGGCGAGAGAGCGTGTGGTGCTATGCGCGCTCACGAAGGCGGCCTGCTTCTTGTTGCAGAGAACGGCGAGTCAACGCGCAAGCCGGTGCTGGTCTTCATCCACGGCGAGTCCTACGAGTGGAACTCGGGCAACGCGTACGACGGCAGCGTGCTGGCCGCCTACGCCGACGTGGTCGTCGTCACCGTCAACTACCGCCTCGGCATCTTGGGTGAGTGTCCCGCCTCGGTCCCGCTCCGGCCCGGGTTCGACGCCCGGCGGCGGCGGCGGACCGGCAACGCACACAAAAAGAAAAAGCGTTCTATAATCTTGATTGGAAGAAGTGACTAAACCTGAAACATTCCAGTAAATTACCTTGGAAGTAAACTACACCTGGTTCAGGAAAACACTTTTCCGGGTGTAGGTTACCTACGCGGCGAGCCGGCCGCTTTGTCAACGCGCGCAAAGACCGAGTTTCATTAACAAAAGGCATAAAGGTGTTAATTAGTTAATTATCCCGGCATGTAATAAACTGCAGGTGACGTCAAAGGGGGGCGTCGCCCTCGTCGTCCTTGCGGTGCGCGGAGGCGCGAGTCCTGCTCATTTTTCCTGCTCTGCCTCCGCTCCGCCACCGCCTGAGGCAATTAAAAGGATTGCAGCTGCTATCGGGGCTCATCGCGCGCCCGGCCGGTGTCTGCCAGCCTGGCTGTCCGCCTGGCTGCCAGCCCGGCTGGCGGCGTGGCAGCAGAGAAATGGCCGGGCGCGTGCATAGAGCGGGGCAAGAACTGACGGCGGCGAGAGAAAAATGAAAATGACGCCGCTCTGTTTTGTTTGCCCTTGCAGGCTTCCTGAACGCCAACCCGGCCCCCGGCGCGGTGGCGCGCGTCGCCAACTACGGCCTGATGGACCAGCTCGCCGCCCTGCACTGGCTGCAGCAGAACGCGGCGCTCTTCGGCGGCGACCCCTCCAGCGTCACCCTCATGGGCCACGGCTCCGGCGCCGCCTGCATCCAGTTCCTCATGGTGTCCCCCACGTCCACGCCAGGTACGCGGCGCCAACCGGCCCCAACTTCAAATTTTGAAATTCCTGCAACGAAAAGTTTAAATTTGGACAGAGTGGTTTGTGGCACCGTGGCGTTAGCCAGCCCGCGTCGCCACCTCGGCTGAGACGTAAGGCCGTAAGCTGGCGTGTAGTCACCTCGTCGGGCGTAGCAGGTTGTAATGTGCGAGCAGGTGGCGTGACACTGCGCGTGTGCGTGTGCCGCGTCGAGTGGAGTTTCCGCTGCACTGTGTGCTTTTAGTGGCGCTGCCGTGAGAGGGGCCTTCTCGCGACGACAACGTTAGCGGGCGACAAATCCTACGATGCACCAGTGTCGAAAAGGGTTGCCAACCCTCTCACTGTCTTGGTTGGCAACCCGACACTGGGGCGTCGTGGGAATTCTTTCGCTGGTGACACTGTGTGCTGTCGACGGCGCCTCGGCCGCCCATTCTCGACGTCCCTGATGAAAAGAAGGAAACCGTTTGGAGCTGGAAGCTGAACGAAGCGTGAGCTAAGCAAAACAAGAGGTAGGCTCCGACGCCGCATCTCCGTTTATGCTTCCCCGCAGGGGAGCCAAACGGCAGGTAGCCCCCGTACGCTCCGGCCGCCGCTTCGTTCCTTCGATACGACGTGTACCATGCTTGCCGCCCTGCACTGGCAGCTTAGACGAAGGGGCGTCTTCGGCCGAGGCTGACACTTCACTGTACGCTCGATGGGCCAGCTCCGGTTGCACTGCTCCTTTCGATGGAAGTTAAACGAAGACGCTCTCACGTCTTATGTTCGTCGGCGACCCCGTCAACTTCAATACTTGTTTAGTTCCGAACGAAAAGTTGTCAATGTTGGTCTGACAACAGTTGGTGTACGCCCACCAGTGCCCCAGCCGGGTGGCCCGGAGAACACTCTCGCTGCAGAACGTAAGGTCTGTAAGGCTGCTCCAGTCACCTCGTGGGCGTAGCAGGTTGTAATGTGCGAGCAGGTGGCGTGGCACTGCGCAGTGTGCGTGTGCCGCGTCGAGTGGAGTTTCCGCGCACGTGTGCTTTTAGTGGCGCTGCCGTGGGGGCCTTCTCGCGACGACAACGTTAGCGGGCGACAAATCTTACGATGCACCAGTGTCGAAAAGGGTTGCCAACCCTCTCACTGTCTTGGTTGGCAACCCGACACTGGGGCGTCGTGGGAATTCTTTCGCTGGTGACACTGTGTGCTGTCGACGGCGTCCTCGGCCGCCCATTTCTCGACGTCCTGGTGGTCGGGCGGCCCCTTCCGGTCACGTCTTGAAGCTCATCTCCCTCTCCTGTCCGCCGGCCGCCCTGAGAGGACCGCGCCGGGCCGCGCACCCTCTCGGAGGACTTTGCGGGCACGGCCCAGCACCCCCAGGACGGCCGGCGCGGTGCAGCACTTCGCATCCGAATAATGGCTGGGGTTCCCGGGGGAGAGGCGTCGGCCCCGTCACTAAGCCCCCAGCCCGACCCGGACCCCGCCAGCCCGCCAGCCAGCCACCGGCCCTTCTTAATTGCGGGGTATTGCAAATGGGCCTTGAGGTGCTGCAAGGTGGCGTCCAGCACGGCGTCCAGCGCGTGACGGTGACCGGAGCCTCTCGCCCGCCCCGCCCCGCCCTGGGCATTGAGCTGAATTAGGGGCCGCTCGTCCTTCCGGAGGCAGCGCGCCCGGCCGAGGCCGGCTGCCTCTCGCCGAAGTTACGGGGCGCAGGGCGCAGGCCAGGTAGCCGTCACGTGCACCTCCCCGAAGTGGGCCACGGCGGCCGGGCGGCGGTCGCAGTAACTCGCGCAGTCTCCGCCACACTGGAAACACCTGCCTGGCCGCGGCCACCGCGAGGCAACGCTGCAGGGTTGCAGGGCTGCAGGGTTCCGTCATTTCAGTGGACCAGCTAATGTTTCCATTACCCACTTTATCCTGCCAGGCCTGAATTATTTCTCGTTCAACAACTTCGGCACCCCCTCCACCCATCCCCCCTTCCCATACCTCCCTTCTCATCCATCCTCTCCCTGATTATTGTTAACCGCCGCCAGGCCGCCGCGCCTAGGCCGACCACTTCACGGCCCTGCTGCAAATTGCCTCCTTAAAACCCACTTGCGCCAACTACTTAAGCCGCGGTGTGCGATGCCTCCTGGCTTCGGCCTCTCAAGGTGGCGTGCTTCAGTGTGCGTGCGCGCGCGCGTCAGTGTGTGTTTTGCTGGTGTCAGTGTGTGTGTGCTGGTGTGGAGGCGCGCGGCAGTAAAGCCCCGCTACACTGGAAATCGCGGATATTGTGACCTATTCGTGCGGTGTGTTCGCCATCTATACTGCAATTGCATCGGAATGGTGTTGGCAGTGCGGCGCAGCGCGGGCCATTAGACAGCTTCGCCTGTCGGTGCCTTACGGGCGCGTTACGTGTGTGGCTGTGGGGAGGTGTGTGGCTTCGGAGTGCAGTTTGTGTGTGGGGGAGAGAGAAAGAGTGAGAAAAAGAGTGTGCGAGTGAGACGGGATGCGTGGCGTCCGTCTGGAGCTATATACGGCGTCGGCGTGACAACGCCCTGTGGCGATTTACTGGCGGAGGGTGAGTGCAAGACGGTCCGGCAGAGCGGGTCTGTCCCCCTCCCCTCTCCCTCTCGCCGTCTCTCTCGCTCTGGAGGGCCGCGTCGTGTGGGTGCGAGAGAGACAGGCACGCCCCGCTTCATCCCGGCAGCCTCACGGTGTCGCCAGTAAACCACTCGCCTCTCTGCCGCCGCAACCTTGGAAAATGGGAGGGGGGTGGAGTCCGTTTTCTCGGAGGACTGTTTTAAATTTGCGTACCGAAGATATTTCATTTCGCGTTTGTTCCTTCGCCCCGCCTCGCAGTGGAACAACTTCCTTCGTTCTTCCCGTTGATCGACACCTCGCTGTCGTTCCTCGGTTTTTGTCGACTATTTTTTTTTTTTTTTTCACCTGCTCCGCGTGGGCCCAGTCCTGCCCACTCTGTTTTTCCCTCTCTCGAGTTCTCCCATCTTATTGGGCCTCATCAGCGTCCGCGTCTGGCGAGCCTGCGCGCATAGCGTCGCTGCTGCTCGCGTGAGCGCGCGCCGTTCGCGGAGTAGTCGTCCGGCCCGGCGTCGCGGACTCCAGTGTTCTCCAGTGGACTGGCAGCGTGATTTTGTATGATTCGCCGGCCGAGGCCATGATCGCCCTCAAGTACGAGAGTCATAACGATCCGAGGCGGGCGATAGCGCTCGCAATGCCACCGACTCCCTCATTGAGTTATCTGCCAGTTTCATCAGCCATTCCCTGGAATATTTACGAGAAGGACCCAACAATATCGCCGGACATTTGTTCTTCCTGGTGCCCCGGCGTGCCCGGAGTAACGACTCCAGGCAGATGTTTTACGCCGCCAGGGCGAAGGGTGGGGGGGTGTTGGGTGCGTCCACTGCGGCAGTCTCGCAGTGTGGCAGACGCACCTGATGTCGCTGCAAGCCGCGCCCACTCACGTTGCTCCGTTTCCAAAAGGTTGCGAAGCGCGAATCTCCAATGTTTTTTCAGTTCGCCGACGTTCGATTTGGCGACTTGGTGACGCCGAGCGCAGCCAGTTCGTTGTTGCTGCAGCGCGGGGCGCTCGCCCGGCTCTAAGTGATTCCGTTCATTTTGCTGCTTCGCCGCACAAATTAAATATTTATGGAATTGAATGGGCTTTGTGGAAAAAGAGAGAGGGGGGGGGAGAGACGAGGGGGTGTCCGCTGCTGGTGGGCGGACCAGGCAGGTCGGATTACTCCAGGAGAGCCTCATAGCGAGAGTTCGACTGTGTCACAGTGTCCACCTCACCTGACTGGGCTGGCCTCGCCGGGCTGGTTGCCCTGGTGGTCCACTCCAAGTCCTGATTGCTGGGGCGGTGTCGGCGCCGTGCTGCTCCCCTGTGAGCCCAGTCCCAGCGCAGCGCGACGGACAGCGACGAAAATCGAATACAAACAGAATACAGAAATGCAAATATCCGGTGCCTGCGGCCTGCTGCGGGGGCTGGACCAATTCGGAAACCATCGTCTATGTTGCCACTTTACATATCCCTCGTCTTTCGTTGCCACTTTTTAGGTTTCATTTTTGTGTGTGGGAGGGGGCGGTTTTTTGTGTCCCTTGCTTCCTGGAATGTACACATCATATCCTTTGAAACCCTCTCTGCTGGCGCCTATTATTCTTCCTCTGCAGGAAATAAAGTATATTAACAAACCAGAAGGGATGGAAACATTTATTATTACTGGTGGGACTGCTGACCCATTTTCGGTTCCTCGGTCAAGGTCGTCCGTCCCTTTCCCTCCCGAGTACATCACAGGGAGGAAGGCTGCGGGCGTCAGGGCAGTGGTAAAAGAATACCAAGAAGAATCATCCGTTCCGCGAAACGGTCTCCGAGGAATCTGATCCGGCGAAATAGTATAAAGAGTAAAGCGGACGTAGCCAACCTTATTGCTGGCCTGCAGGCCGAGCCAGGCCATGCCAGGCCACGCCAGGCCATGCCGCCGCACCGAATTGGTCGAATTGGCACAAGCCGTAATTTGTGCCCCTTTGCCGGCCCTACAATAAGATGTCTGGCAACTTCCCTTACTCTTCCCCCTCCCCTCCTTTTTCGTCGCGATGTCTTTTCATCTTTTGATCTCGCCGTGGAAACCTCTCCCCCCCCCCTTTCCTTCTGTCCTTGGCGCCTTGCCGCGCCTCCTCTCCGTAAATCAGTATAATCCTTTTGGTTTACTCGTGGCTCCGCTTCTTCCTCGTGCGTTGCGTCGCGCGGCAAAAACGCCCGGCCAGCGGGACAAGAGGGATGGGGGAAAGAGAGGGGGGCGCTCGCATGTAAATGGGGGACACCTTTTTTTGCGGGCACTGAGCTCGTGTATCAGGAAAAATCCCCCGACTGTTGGAAGGGATAGGCAACCCGGCTGACAAAGGCCGCCAAGACGGGGGCGAGAGAGGATAAGGGAGAAATTGAGAAGGGGGCGCAGAAAGGGGGCTCAGAGCGGGTGGAGTGGGGTGCAGCGATGGAAAAGTTGTATCGTTTAGGTATCGCACAGGGCGCTCCGGTGCCTGCGCGGCCGCCTCGCCTCCTGGGGGAAACTTTGGATCGCATTATAGTCTGCCGTGTGTCAGCCAGGTGCGCTTGCGAGGCGGGGTGGGGCGGGGCGGGGCGTGCCGTGGTGCCGAAAGAATGCGCTCATTAGAAGCTGCTCGGCCACTGTATAAAGTTGGTCCACCGCCCCCCTTGGAATGTGCAGGGTGTCGTGAGGCAGGCGCGCCAGGGAATCGCGGCCCCGAATGATAAATCTGGGGGCAGCTTGCCTCGGCCTGCCTCGGCCTGCCTCGGCTTGCTTCGGCTCCGCTGCGCGCGCCCACAGCGCCCCGCACAGTGGGCCAGAAGACCGGTGGAGGCGGACAAAACTCCAGACGTGTTTCGAGCTCCAGACTCGCTGAATAGGACTCGAACCGAACGTGTGACCCCACCAATGGATAGCTCTCCGAACGAGGAATCCATTAGTGGGGTCATACGTTCGGTTCGAGTCCTGTTTAGCGACTCTGGAGCTCAAAACGCGTCCAGAGTTTTGTCCGCCTCCACCGGTCCTCTGGCCCACTGTGCCCCGCCTGGCCTGGCCGCCTGGGCGGGGCGGCGGGGTGGTTGGCTCCGCGGCACGGCCGCGCCTCGCGAGCCGTGAACGACGGGAGCGACACGCCCCGCGCAACAGTTTGGCCTGCACAGTGGATGGCTCTCTCGGTGACGGCCGAGGACAATCCAGCCCGTTTCAGTGGTACCTGAGGCGGAGATGGGAGCTGCTCGTAATCCTTCAGCCTCTCCCAACAGAGCCTCCAAATAGTCATGCACTGTTTAAAAAATAATAATAAACGAGCTGACACTAGGGCGTGCTTCTTGGTTAGGTTTCGCCTGCTGAAAATGTGTTTGTTTGCCCGCAGGCCTGTTCCACCGGGCCATCCTGCTGTCGGGGTCGGCGCTGTCGTCCTGGGCGCTGGTGGAGGACCCGGTGCAGTACGCCGTGCGCCTGGCGCACCAGGTCAACTGCTCGCTGCCGGACAACCTGCTGCGGGACCACGAGGCCATCGTGGACTGCTTGAGGGAGACGCCGCTCAGCACGCTGCTGCACGCCGACGTGAAGCCGCCCACCTTCCTGTCGGCCTTCGGGCCCTCCGTGGACGGCGTCGTCATCAAGCACGACGTGATGCGCCAGCTGCTCACGGCGCCACTCGCCGGCCAGGAGCGCGCGCCCAGGGAGGGGTTCTCAGTGAGTTGTTGTTGGGGCACACTGCTAATTTCGCTCGTATACAATCGGTGAGCCCTGCCCGGCCGGAGTCGAGCCGGAGTTCGTGGCGAGGTCCATCCACTCTGCCTCCGCCCCTGAGGCCGCCCTCAAGGCCGCCTTGGGGCCCGCGGCCGACGGAGTGCCCCGAATGGCCCCGTTTGGGCGTGCTGCAGCCCCTGGCGGAGGCCCTGGCGGAGGCCCTGGCGGAGGCCCTGGCGGAGGCCCTGGCGGAGGCCCTGGCGGAGGCCCTGGCGGAGGCCCTGGTGGAGGCCCCCACGGAGTCCCTCATGTCGCGACCGCGCCGAGCCGAGCCGAGCCGCGCTGCAAGACAGCGGCCGGAGGGGCTCTCCGGGGCCTAATTGGAAAGGGGTCGCGTTAATATTTGAGGGCAGCGCCCCAGATGAACTCCGCCCCGCCCCGCTCGCGCTACGCCACACCGCCGTCGTCCTCCGCTTCACCAAGCCGTCCTGCTGCATTGCCTCTGATGTGCGACCACATGACGACCGACAGCGCCAAGGAGAGTCAACAATGCCGTTGTTACAAACGAGAAAAAAACGCCCCTTTTTTGTTCTTTCGAATATTTCCAGTTGCTGGTGCTGGGTGGTCAGCGCCTGAATAAAGGAATACTGTTCATGGAACTTGCCCTTGCAGTGGCTCCAGCCACGGCAACCTGTGGTCCACCTGAGAAAATATTTCTGGGAACGGAATCGGAGCAAATGAGTGCCCGTTAGAGACAATCGTTGGCCACCGTCAACTCGTTTCGCTCCGCTTAGCTCGTGTCGAATAATTTGGAATCGGTTCGCGGTAAAGCACTCGACGCCCCGCAGGACAATGTAGAACGAACGACCGTTTTCATTTCCCCCGAACCCTTTTTCCCGTTTTGTTTTCTATTTTCCTCTTTGAGTTCGCTCCCGGCAAACCGTTTCCCACCCCAGCAGACTGCTTCCGACCGCGCAGTCGGTCTGTCTCTCTCGCACTGATGGAGCGGCCCGTAGGGGTGCGAGAGAGAGAGAGAGCGTTGAGGACCGGCCCGCTGGCTACGCCACAGTGCGTCGCTGCTGATCGGTGGCCGTGGGGTCAGAGCGCCTTGCTACGCCATTGGTTCCGCCACTGGTTCCGCCATCGGCCCTGGGGCCCAGCCTTGGCCTTGCGGCCTTGCCTCCCGCGCCGCTACCCGCCACCACGCCGCCCGGTCGCACCGCCACTGCCGGGCTACCCGACGCTCATTTCAAGTCCCGCACGTTGATAGGATTAATCTCAAATGGGATAATAAATCTTGATTTTTTTTTTCCTCCACCGCCGACGCGCAAGACTGTTTTGCCGTTTGGTGGCCCGGGTGCGGCCCGGGTGCCCCACCACCGGCGTCCCGGCCGAGCCGTGGCCGAGCCGTGGCCCAGCCCTTGGCGATGGGCCCTTCAATACCGGCCCACCCTGCGGAACGCGCCGCCTCGCTCCGTCTCTCTCGCACTCCCGGGGCGGGTCGTGCGGGTGCGAGAGAGACGGAGCGACGGAGCGCTGTTCGGAATCCGCCTGCTGGTCCACCATAAATCTCGCGCGTGGTCCATGAATCGACTGGGGGTGGGGGAGGGGGAGGGCTGTTCGCGCCCAGCGGAGCCCAGCGCGGCCCAGCGCGGCCCAGCGCCCAGAGGTAAATGGCTTTTCGTCTGGCAGTGACGCGGTCCGACTAGACGCCGCAAGTTGTCGCCTCCCTTGTCGCCGCGGTTGTCGCCGTGGCTTGTCGGCGCCCGCAATCCGCGCTGGAAGCACACTGGAAGCGTTGGCAGCGCGCTGGAACGCCAGCCTGCTTATTAGCGCCGGCCTCGGCCGGGCCGGCGGGCCGGCAGGCCATGCCCGCAATGTGACATACCCTTCGCAAACTCGCGTCGGGCGGCAGGCCGCCTCCGAGCGGCCGCCCCATCGTGCCGTCTCTCTCGCACTCGCGGGGCACCCTGAGAGAGAGAGAGAGAGAGAGAGAGAGAGAGAGAGAGAGAGAGAGAGAGAGAGAGAGAGACAGCGCGACGGAACGCGGAACGAGGCGCTCGGCCCAATTCCCGGCAGCCGGTCTGCAGGCCATGGCCGCCATGGTCGCCGACGCTGGCTTCTAATCCCTGCGGCCCCTCCATGAGAGTGCGCGGCCCTAGCGGCCCCCGCGGCCCCACCAGACCACCGCCCCTCTGCGCAATGTGACAGCGCCCCCCGCGGGCCCCGATTTGTCGCCTGCACGAGGCCAGGTCGCAGTTTGTTCTCATCGTCACCAAGGCCCAGACCAAGGCCCAGGGGCCGGACGCGGGGGTGGGGGGGGGGGTGCACTCCCCACAGCCGTGCAAGGCCTGCAGATGGGACGCCGCTATAACAAACCCCCTTCCCTTCCCTCCCCCACCCCTGCTTCATTGAATGCTCGCGCGAGGCTGCCTCCCCCTCTCGCATTTTATGTCCCCCGCCCCCGGCCCGCCCCCGGCCCGCCCCCGGCGCGCACACACGTACACACACAGAGAACACGGTCACCCCTATTAGCCCGTACCTGTCACCTCCCAGCGCTGCCGCCGCAGTGGTCGCTGAGGACGCCGGAGGCGCCATCATGTCACAGCCACTGCCTGACCCTGATCCGGGGCGGGGCGGGGCGGGGCGGGGCGGGGCGGGTCGCAGGGCGCACCAGACAGACAGGCGTGACGCCGTGGGCCGCCCCACGGCCCGGGCCACGGCCTGGGCCACTGCACCGCAAAACGGCGATCCCAAAGTAGCTCTGCGGCCGTCGTTAAACCCCAACGAGGTCCCCGAGTTGACTGTCCCCGCGGCCGTCATGCAGGCCCACTTTGTTTTCATGTTGTTGCGTGGGTGGGGCGCGGGGCGCGGAGTCGGTGCACGGCCCTGGAAAGTCCCGCAGTCCATTACTATCGCGCGCCACGCCGCCACGCCGCTACACCACACCGCGCATAACTTTTGCCGCGGTGACGCAGTGGCTACTGGTCGCGACGACGCGGCTAGACAACAGTCTAGAGTCCGCCCAGCGCGGGCCTGGAGGCGCCTGGAGGCGCCTGGAGCCTGCCTGGAGGCTGCCTGGAGGTATGGCATTGTTATGCATAGCAGGGTGGAAGTTCCGATGGGAATAATGTATAGGTCGCGGTGGAACAAGAGACTTGTGTCAGCCACTTTGTCCTGCCGGTTAGCTTTCATCTCGCGATGTCGCCGCGAAGCGAGCTAGGCGGGGCGGGGCGGGGCGGGGCGGGGCAGCGCGCCAAGGGCCCCGAAAGGTCGCCGCAAATTAGAAAAAGACGCTAATTGCAGCTTTCCGTCATTGTCCGCCCAACGACCCGGCTGGGCCGAGGCTGGGCTTGGCCATGGCTCTGTCGCGGCCGCACGGCAGAAGTCTTTTCCAGGCGCAAAAAAAGTGACTGCAAAAAAGACGAAAGAAAACCTGTGAATGGCAGCCTTTAACCTCCCACTCTGTCTCTCTCTGTCCCGCAGGTGTTCGAAGGCTACTCTGACGACAACCCAGGCGCCTTCTCCGCCGCCGCCGCCAAGCTGTTCCCCCCGGGGCTGGGCAGCAAGGGCTACGACCTGCTGTTCGGCGTGGTCACCGGGGAGGCGCTGCTCCGCTTCCCGGAGCGCGACCTGCAGAACGGCTTCGAACCGGAGCGCAGGGACAGGTGAGGCGTTCGACGGTCTGCCAAATCATCCAGCTTCGTCCCTTTCGGAATGATGACGAAAACAGTAGGGAAAACTAGAATAACGCTTTTTTTTCTTCACTATTTTTATGTTTTTATTTTGTGTACAAACAAAATAAAAACGTAAAAATAGTACAAGCACTTTTGGTTTATTGCTTGAAAATTTCAAAATGGCGCCGGTTGCCTCGTGGTTGCCTCGCGGGGTTCCTCGGCCTTTCTCTTCTCGCGGCTCGAAATTACCGCTGGCGCATCGCTCAGCCATTACGTGAAATCGGTGTGTCGTTCTACGCGTCGCAGAGCGGGCCAGAGCGCGCCAGAGCGCGCCAGAGCGAGGCAGGGCCGGGCAAGCGCTTTCGGAAGGCGGATCCATCTTAATCTTGGCGCCCCTGATGGCCCAGTGGCGGCGCTCTTGCCGCTCTTAGAGAGAGATAGGGGGAAGGAGGAGGCTGCGGCTGTGTCAAGGCGCGCCGAGGCACACCGACTGAGTGGTCTCATCAGTCAGTCACGCACCATCGCACGCACACCGCACACACACACACACACACACACACACCATATACACCTACTATTACCACCACCCCCTCCCCCACCACACACTCACACACAGCTGCAGAGTTTGCGGCTTGTTTAGGACTTCTTGCTCGTCCAGGTAATGAACAACGCACGCGGCAATCCATTGCCAGGATTAATTACCGCACCGCAAAAGAAAAACAACAAGAGCAAACAAAATCAAACTTTCGGCTATTTATTCTCTCTGCGCGAGGCGTTAAGAAGAGGGTAGTAGGAGGCGCAGTGACTTGGGCCTAATTTAAAATAAGCAGTTGCCCCCTCCCCCTTTCCCTCCCCCCGCCGCCTTCCCCTTGGCGGGCCCGAGTTGTTTTAATGTGATTAGTCAGCCGTTTCGTTTTCTCTCGCAGGACGACTTCGGAGGGAGGGGAGGGAAAGGGAAGGGGATCAATTTCAGCGTCATGCACGCGAAGGGGACAGGTAGTAATCCACTTTGTGCAGCCGCCCGCACCCCACCCCGCCCCGAACGGTGACTAACTACAGGATGCACTTCTCTGCTGCCACGGCGCGCCACGGCGTTGGGCTGTGTTCGGCGGTCCCAGTGTTTTGAGCAGCCCGGTGTACGGCGTACCCGTTCCCCGTTTGCACGGTGCCGGGCGGTGCTGGGTACGCCAGAGAGCCAAAGACAGAGTAGGACCGCACAGGAGGAGGACCCTCGGAGACGCGACTGTTTGGTCGTGCCGACGCCGCCGCCGAGGGCTTCAAAGGACGCGCGGCCGAACGGACTGAGCCCGCCGTCGGAGCGAGCAGCCCTCTATGCAGTGCTCCTCTTATTCTGTTACCTTCCGCCAGGCTTCGTCGTTCTGCCGCGTTTGCAATTCGCACGGCTGTCTTGTCTAACGGGCCGTGGTGCCACTATGCGCAGGATCCTCCGGACGTACGTGCGCAACGTGTACTCGTACCACCTGCACGAGATCTTCTCCACGGCCGTCAACGAGTACACGGACTGGGAGCGCACCGAGCTGCACCCCATCAACACGCGCGACGCCACGGTGTCGGCGCTCAGCGACGCGCAGTTCGTGGCCCCCGTCGTGCAGATGGCCGACCTGCTGTCCCCCGGGGGGCCCCGGCCCCACGGGGGGGCCCGGAACCCCCGGGGCCCCCGGGGCGGACGGGGGAACCCCCGGCCCGACGACCCCCGGGGGGCCCCGGCGACCAGGGGCCACTCTAGGGACACCTTCAAGGGCGGACGGCGGTGAGGCAGCCAGGGGGCCAAACGTCGCCCGAGGGGCCGGGGGCCACGGCGGAAACCCGGGGGGCCTACTTACGGCGCCCTACCAGCGCGACGGGCGCGAGACGGCGCCTGGGGGCGCGACACGGGAGGGGGCCGACGAGGGCGTCGACGACGGTGACCTGGGGGGCGCGACGACGGCGACCTGGGGGGCGCGACGACGGTGACCTGGGGGACGCAACGACGGCGACCTGGGGGAAGCGACGACGGCGACCTGGGGGGCGCGATGACGGCGACCTGGTGGACGCGACGACGGCGACCTGGCGGGCGTGGTGGCGGTTGCCGCCCCCCAAGCCCGCTCCCATCACCTCGATTTGCGTCCGCACGTGCTGCGGCTTCGCGTAATAGCTTTTGCATCACGCAAATAGCATCACGAGCTTCCATTAGAGCGCGCTGCCGCTGTGGCGCTGCGGCCCTCTCCGGGCAGCGCGTCGACGGCCGTGCTCGCTGCCATGCTCGTTGTTCAATGTTCGCGACCAGACGACGCAACGGGCTGCCGCTCATCTCCGCGCCTCGAGGTCATTGTTGTGAGGGCAGCCAGTGGGATTTCGAAAGAACGCCTCGAGGTGCTCCGCCGCGCCCCACCCCGCCCCGCCACCCCCGAGAGTGTAGCCGACGGCACAATTTCCCCTCTCCTTGATGGGGTTTTCTCCATATGTACTGGCGGGCTGGCTGCTGGATGGCGCTGGCTCCGGGACGGGCGGGCTGGCGGGCGGGCTGGCGGGCGGGCGCGGCGGGCGGGCGGGCGGGCGGGCGGGGCGGGCGGGCGGGCGGGCGGGCGGGCGGGGCGGGCGGGGGCGGGCGGGCGGCGGGCGGGGGCGGGCGGGCTGGCGGGCGGGCTGGCGGGCGGGCGGGGGGGGGCGGGCGGGGCGGGCGCGGCGGGCGGGGCTGGCGAGCGGGCGTCGCGGTGCGGCACGCCCTCTCTTTTCTAAGCCACTGAATCTGTTCGCGCGGCAGGGCGGCACGGCGGCACGGCGGCGCCGCCTAGTTGACTGAATGGAGCCGACGCGCCGCTCGATCCTTTGTTTCCACTGTACGCGTCCGAGTCGAGTCGAATTGGCGCCAAGCGGACGGGCCGTGTACACTAGCAAGCAGGACGCCCCTTCGTCCTTCGAGTGTGCCAGCGGGCCTTGACATGCGCGGCGCGGTCGGAATGTGAGATACGCGGCCGGGAATGCCACGCTTTTTCACCCAAACCCACCTGTTCGTGCGCGCGTGCGTGTTATTGGCTCGCATTAAAAGGGCGCTACTACACGACAAGGTAAGAGGGTGCGGGGATAGGCCTTGTTTGGCTAAGGGCCAGGGCCCTGCGCCCGCCCCTGCGCCACCCAGCAAATTGTTTGACCCCGTTGCCAAGCCTGTCCCACCCCGCGGGCACTGCTGCCGTGCTGTGCGTTTCGCGAGTACGTACTTTCACGCGCATACCGACGGTACAGGAGGCCGTCGCAGAACACTCTGCCCTGCGCTGCACGGCATTGCAGTGTACGCAGCGCCCCACCAGGCCGTGGGCCCCGTGGGCACCCACGGGGGCTCTAAAGGGTGGGAATAATTTCCAGTTCAAACAGGGCGGGCGATCTGCCCCGGCCGTTTTAACAGTGTGCCCGGCGTGCCCACCCCACGGCGGCCACGCGCGTTCTCTTTCGCCGAACGCGCGCAAATTCTCTGTACGGCCTGTCTCTCAAGGCTGTCGCGCGGCATGATGGATGTGGGCTGACTCGGACTCGGTGCTATTGGAGGAGGGGGCGAACACACAGCCTATCGGGAGAGCCCTTTGTCGAAAGCCTTTTTTCGTTCGGCTGTTGTGTGGGACTCACGTCGGTCTGCACTGCAAGGGGGAGGCAGGCAGCGCCTCGTGTTGCACCGCGTTGCACTTTGGCGGCCCGATTCAGACCGACTGCATTGTCCCTTCCGAAAATGGATCCCGAGCGAGGAGGGGGTGTTTCCCATTGCGTGGGCCGCCGTTTATGTCGCTAAACGCAGAAAATGGAGACAAGACTGCAACCTGCAATTTCGCGGTTCGGGCTACGTACTCTTTTCGCTTTATGAAAGTAACACTCCATACAACGAGGCACATCGCAGAAATCGAAAAAGAACTTTTACGCCCCCCCCCCTTTTCGTTTGACTTCTACGACGCCCGTTTGACTCACAAGGTGCCTCGTACACTCAGAAAAACGAGATCCTCGGAATAAGAAAGGCACACTTATCTTAAGTATAGTTTAGTCTAAAATAATTAAAATAAGAAACCAAAAAACCAAAAATCACGGAGTACAGCCTCGTGTATAATAGATGGCGTCGCTGTCCCGCCGCGAACCGGGCCAGAGCCAGGCGGTGCTGTGGTGGTGCCCCACTTGAACGGAAGTGGAAACTCGTTGACGGGGATTGGCCTCCGTATGATTGGCCCTCCTGTAACGACTCGGTCTCCTCCACTGCAGGGCGGCCGGCCCAGCCATCCAGCCGGCAAGGCAGGCAGGCAGGCAGGCAGGCAGGCAGCCACGCCCCATCAGGCCCGGCCGGTCCGGCAAACGCTGCGCAAGCGCGCAAACAGACCCCGCTGACCTTCCCTTCCCGTTCCCATTGCTCGTGCCGCCCTCGTCCTCGACCGGGCTGCCGTCAGCCGAAGGCGGCACCAGCCGGACTCCGAGATTCGTCGCTCTATCCCTCTCGCACTCCCGGGACGTCCCGCCACAGCTTGCGAGAGAGTCGGAGCGACGAAAACGACGACTCCCGGAATCAGTCTGCAGACGGCTAATGCGATTTGTTTGGACCGGTTCGGGAGACGGACGGGCTCTGCAGGGCGGCTCGGCCCACAGTGGGCCAGGGCGCGGCCACCTCGCCGAGACGTCACGCAGCCACTGCGGCGCGCTTCGGGAAAGGGGCGGGGGGCTGAATTAAACGGATGGCTCCAGGAATGCAAAGGTGCGGGCGTGGCGCCGAGGCCAATAATGTCGGGGAATGTTTCCCGGAAAAATGGAAACATTCTCCACGGCCACATTCTTTGGATCATCCTCCGGGTTCACTCATTTTTATCTTATTTCATCTTTCTCAGAATTTTTTTCTCCCGGATATAAAGCACTGAGAATTCTCCCACGCGATGGTGGCTTCGCTTTCGCGCCAGTCAAACCAGCGGCTGCTGTTGGGCCATCCATTTCTCTGACTCGGGCAGCTCACCTCGGCTGGCTTGCAGTCCGCTCGCGCTGCACCTGCCCCCCCCCCCCCCCCCGACCGGGCGGCGATATCGGCTTTGATAACCATTTATCGCATGCCGTTGTTGGGATCGGCGCCAGTGTTTTTAGAGCCGTCATGGCGGGGCGGGCCGCGGGGGCCACGCGGAGAAATATTGTTAGCCTGATACTGTATGAATTCCATTTCAGCCGACTCAGGTTGAGCGGGGCCGACCCAAAGAAAAGGGGGCGGGGGTAGTGACAGCAAAGGCTCATTTTTATTTCAGTCTGTTTTTTATTCTTTGTTTTCACGCCTCCGGTCCAGGGGTCGAAAGAGAAAAACGTGATATTATAAAGCGTTGGAGGCTGGCTGAGGGGTTTATGCGGCTTCTTTTGACCGATTCCACTGTAATGAAAGCAATCGGGCGGCGCCGCGGGGCCGGCGGGCCTGCTCTGTAAGTTTTCTGGTGGAGGCGCCGGGGTCCGGGAGAACGGCGCCGATGGCGATGGAGGGCGCGGTCGGGATTTCTAGCGCTCACCTTCACAGAGCGTAACGAATATGCCATTCCACATATTGGCGTCCCCCTCCCCCACTCCTCTTCCTCCTTCCCGTTTTTCTGAATATACACATCTGGCATGACGAGCCGTGTCGGCTTTATCGCTCCCTGCAGGCTGATGCCGAGGGTCGTCGCTCTGTCTCTCTCGCACCCATGGGGCGTCCCGTATAGGTGCGGCAGAGACAGAGCGACGAAAACGACTCTCGGAATCAGCCTGCTGGCGGCACAACACATCAACGGGCGCAGGACGGAGGTGTGCCGAATCTGATAATGAAAATCGAAATGAAAAATAAAACGATCAGGGCGTTAAGCACACAACACGGCCAGGTGCGGACGGTCGTCTGGGCGGCGATAGCCGAAATCCACGCCAGTAAATGGCTTTTAGCATCGCGCCGGCAGGCTCACTGGAAATAAAGGTTCGTCGCTGTCTCTCTCCTGGTTTAGGTGGTTACCCGGGTCAAAAACAGAGCCCACAGTCAGTGCTTCCCGGGGGCAGGGCGCTTTTCGATCCAAACCACACGCCGTGGAAACCAGGAACCGTTTTTACCGCGCGGTGACAACTTCAGCAAGTGTACAGTGTGGGCTGCGGGAGAGGCAGAGCCTGACAAGCGGCACTCGAGGGGTACCTCACCTCGAAAATAGGTGTACACTGACTGGAGACTATACTCAATTTCTACTTTGACTAGATTGAAAATATCACGAAATGCGTTGCAAAAATACTACAATTAGGACAAATTTACGTGGTTTTTCCGGCTTTTTAAGTGACTAGACTGAAACGAGGCAGTGACTGGAGTCAGGGGTGTACACTGACTAGACGAAGTGAGGTACCCCTCGGCGGCACTAGTCCGAATCAGCCCGCAGGCCGGCCGGTAACTGGCAGATGCAGGCCTGGCGCTCCCTTTGCGTGGGGCCCTGGTGGCCCCGGTGGGCCCCGGTGGGCCCCGGTGGGCCCCGGTGGGCCCCGGTGGGCCCCGGTGGGGCAATGCGGCATCGGACATTCTCGGAATCCTGGACGCGGACGCACAAAGCAGTGGCGGCAACGGCAGGCCCTCAGAGCACGCCGCGCTGGCCAGCCAGCAGACTCATTCCGAGAGTCGTTTCCGTCGCTCCGTCTCTCCCGCACTCATGGGCCG